GGCCTAACTGAGGTTTTAAAATACTTCATTTACTCCAGTAAATGGACTCCAGAAGATAGTAGAGGACAGGAAGTCCTGGGAGGAATGTTGTCCATGGAGTCGCGATGGGTTGGACACAGCTTCACAACTAACAACAAATACTTTATGTGATGTTGATTCTGTGCCTCCGTTTATACAACCAAGGATAGAATTAGCTTTGATTTTTGTTCCAAAAAGTTTTTAAAAAGTTAACTCGGTTGCTCTAGTTTAGTTTGGAAATTGTACAGTCAGTGTTTACAGCAGGGGCCTCCCGTCCATAGAAAAGGCACTTTGATTTTTGCTGAGCACCAATTTGCTGTAAAAAAAGGTAGTTTTTAACATTGCTTTGCAATTGAAAATGCAGTGACACTTTTTTCCCTTACCAGAATATAGAAGCAGCTTTGTTCTCCCCTCTTTTTGAGGGCAGGGGAAGAAGGAGGAAGGAAATAGGCATTGCCCAACTTTCCACCATTTTACTACCAAAAAAAAAAAAAAACCACTTCTGTCTCATGGTAGTTTATGGACAAAAATGAATCATGCCAAATGGTTGTATCAAGGAGAAAAAATGACCCTGGTCATTTGGTGTTTTTTTTTCCTCCTAAGTATCTCCAGTCGAAGGCCAATGAACGACAGATTTTCTTTGAAAGGGAGTGCAAATATTTATAGTGTGGAAATGGACCGTGGTTGCTTTTTCGTTCCTTTTTGGCCTAGTCAATTCCATCCATGGAGAAAATGAAGCTGCAAGAATTGAAAATAAAAGGGTATGCACAGAGGACAGGCTAACAGTTTAAAACAGTTTAAAATTCTTTTGGTCTGTGGGAAACTTAACACTGCTGTGTTTTTTGCTGGAATTGGGTATGGCTAATCTAGAGGAAGGAAGGATTTGGGGGGTGGGGTGACATGATAGCAGTCTTCCAATATTTAAGGGGTTGCCCCAAAGAAGAGGGAGTCAAGCTATTTCCAAAACACCAGAAGGCAAGAGAAGAAATAATGAATGGAAACTAATCAAGGAGAGAAGCAACTTGGAACTAAGGAGGAATTTCCTAACAGTGAGGACAATTAATCAGTGGAACAACTTACCTCCAGAAGTGGTGAATTCTCTAACACTGGAAGTTTTTAAGAAGAGATTGGACAACTATTTGTCTGAGATAGTATAGGGTTTCCTGCTTGAGCAGGGGGTTGGACTAGAAGACCTCCAAGATCCCTTCCAACTTTGTTATTCTGTATTATATGAATCAGCATTTAGCTAGGGAGGAGGTTACGAATATATGTGTTAGTCTTCATTTTTCTTTTCTTTTTTTAATATCTTCTTTGTTGTTGTTGTTTTTAATTATTTTGCCTTTTAAAAAATATTTTAGTGCTTTATATTTTAACTTTTCTTTGTATCAACTAAATATCAATTAGGAGATTGAAACTTTCCAGCATTTTAGAGAAGAAGAAGGGAAAAAAAACATATCCCTGAATTATATATTTCTCGGGGGTCCTTCTAAATCCAAGCCAGTCCCTGTTGTGGCAGCTGCTAAGCCAAATCTGTTCATTTCAGTGGGAGAGAGGCCAGGTAATGTGCAAATAGGCAGCAAGGAACACCGCAGGTATAGGGAGAACAGGTGCTTCATTAGAGACGGCAGCCAAAAATCAGGATCTTGGAAAGACGCAGCCTAAGTGAGGAGAAATTGCAAGGGTGTGTGCAACTCTACACATTGGTGTGCAACTCACATGGAAATAGTAGGGGAAAACAGCAACGAGGCAAAAGAGAGAACTGATTTATTTCTTAAAAAACTATATGCAGGAATCTTCTCAACTACCAAGTTGCACTTGCTATGAGTAGATAAGGGTCATCAGAATTCAAGGAAGGTCAGATTTAGTTCATTTGTGATGACGTAGAGATTCTAGACTGATGCCTCTTTTAACTCCACCCTCCAAGTTCTCCCACTCCTTCTCCTACAGCCAGGTTTTCAAGGTTCTGCCATTACACATAGTCCTCAACTTACCTTATGCTTCATTTAATGAGCATTCAAAGTTATGATGGTGGTGAAAAAAGTAGCTTGCAACTGGTTCTTGCATTTATGACCATCAAAGCGTTTAATCCCTTGGCCATAGAATTAAAATTCAGGCATTTGACAGCCAGAAGCATTCATTGTTTCCTACATAATTTTGCATTCCAACGAATGGTTGGATCCGGAGTTTATTTAATAGCTCAGAACTGAATGGAGCCCTTGCCTTTTTGGGTTTAAATCTAAGCTTCTCTGAACTTCAATGGCGTATTATCCATCCAGCAAAAAGGAAGCTAATTTTGATCTTCCTTTTAAACCATTTGACAGTTAAACGTCAACAGCGCATCCACTGCAAATCATCTAGAGATTTTTGAAACTCAGATTTATTTTCCTTCTGACGATTTCCTGGCTTGAATTTTTACTCACTGCCATGTAGGGTCCCATAGTAGGGTGTTTTGTGGGGATTTGTTGGCTCTTGTCTATAGAGTTGAAAAGCAAAGGGTCTTTTGAGGGGGCTCTTGGTAATGTATTACTATCCTATAAAGTTTTTTTTTTCATAGAAAATTTTGGCGTGTTATTTTCATATGCCAAGCTGCATAGCTTGCAGAAGATTTATGCAACAAATGATGGATATTTAATATCCATTTCCTTTTTGAAATGAGGGGAGCATTAGGTAATCTGTTTGGGGCTGTTAAATTTCTCCACCTGGCAGTTTTATAGCCTCACAAGATGAGTAAGATCCCTTGCTCCTTGTAGTCTCTTTGTTGTGTAAATCCTTAGTATGTTATTTGTACAGTTATTTCTGAATGACCAATGGGATGCACGTTACATTGATTGAGAAACATGATGTCTCCTCGTTATGGTGCTTCTGGCAATCTTTGGCCACCAAGGAGTAACTGCTAACAATATTCATTGAGTTCACCATGAACTCCTCTGTCTACCAAAATATTCCAGAGTCAAATGTGAGGCCATTTGTCCAACAGCTAAAGCTATTCAAACAAAATACAGCTGGAAGGGACCTTGGAGGTCTTCTAGTCCACCCCCCTGCTCAAGCAGGAGACCCTGTATTGTTCCAGATAGGTAGCTGTCCAGTCTCTTCTTAAAAACCTCCAGTGATGGAGCACCAATAACTTCTTGTGGCAAGCTGTTCCACTGGTTAATTGTCCTTACTGTTGGGAAGTTTCTCCTTAATTCCAGGTTGCTTCTCTGCTTTGTCGGTTCAGGTTGCTGATTAAGAATTTTAATCCACTATCTGATAAAAGGCACACGCTGTCTACAAACTCAGAAGAAGCAGAAGACATTCAAAATTTGGTCTTCTGTAAAGGAAAGATCCTGTTAAAATTTTGCAAGACCGGTTTCCCTGTAAGGAATTAAGGGAAAACATCGTGCAAATTGTCATTTCATATTTGTGGATCATGCACGACTACATTCCCTTTTATCCTGTGTTATAGATGGCCAATGCATACAAAATGGCAGGGGTGGGGGGGAAGTATTTGGCATACTGCAAGGACATTAGTAACTCTGGAAGGCTGGGACAGCACATTTAGGATAAATTCCTTTCTCTTTTTCTTTCATCGAACGATAGAATTTGAGCAGAAAAGTGAGCAGCTTATTATTGCCTTCCTGAAATTCATTTTAGAGTTGTCACACTTTCTCTGGGTGTTCTTAAAGTATCTAATGGTTATTGAACATGAGGTGATTTCAATAATTCAATAGTTGCAAGCATTATGGTAAGGTTCAGAAGAGACATTTCATTAGAAAGACCCTTCAAATTCTGGAATTGGATTGGATCATTTTAAAAAGATGCTCTGGTTATTTTCTGATTTTTTTTTTCTCTCCAAGGAAGTGCCTTGACATTTTACAGCCATGGATTTCAAGTCCCAGTTAGCAAATGCAACAGACGAATGGGTTCTTTCTAAGAAACATTGGGATTAAATGCACCCAGGGCCTCCTCACACTTCAAAGCTGTTTGAAGCAAACGTACAGAAATAAATGTGATCAGGCTTCAAATGAAAGATGAATTTTTCTCCTTTGCATGTTGTAATTTTGTTGCATGCACTTCAAATGAGAAAGATTAAAGAGTCTTGATTCCTTCGAATCTGGTGGCTTTGGGGTTCTAACTGGTTATCTAACAAAGATGTCTGGTTTTTTTTTAAAAAAATTTTTTTTACATACAATAAATCTCTTATTGCTTTATTTCAATTGTATGTCCATTAGGTACATACTTCATGTGCTTAACAATTACTAATAACATTCTTCTTATCAATATAACAATATAACCATATCACATTCTGATATTTATATATAATATAAGTAATATCCAGTATATCTATTACGCTAGTTTCTCTTATTGCCTTATAAATAAATCTAATCCCCTTTATTTTCTAACCATTGGTAAAACAAGTCTCATACTATGTAATATTCAGATTCTTCTTTTTCTTTGATTTCTAATGTTAATCTATTCATTTCTGTACATTCAAATTTTTTTCAATTACTTTTCCCTCTATCGGTATCTCATTACTTTCCCAATTATGAGCAAATACAATTCTAGCTGCTGTTAATACATGTTAAATATGTTTTTTTTCCTTTACTATGACCTTCAGGTACCACTCCTAATAAACATATTTCAGGCTTCAGATCTATATGTTGTTTAATCATTTTTTCCAACCACGTGTGTATTTTGGTCCAATATCTTTTAGCTTCTATACAAGTCCACCACATATGGTGATATGTTCCTGGTGTTTGATGACATTTCCAACATTTAGTTGATTTATCTTTGAACATTTTCACTAGTTTTGCTGGTGCTAAATGCCATCTGTAAAACATCTTATACAAATTTTCTTTATATGCTGTCGATATTGTCAATTTATAATTTATTCCTGTCCCATAACTTCTGCCATTAATCAAATTCTATAACACATCCAAAAATTTTGCCCATGCTATCATTGTTTCTTTAACTTGTTCAGTGGTCTGTTAATGTTGCTGTACATGGTGATGTTTTTCAGAGTGTCTGGAGGTGAACTATTTGACCGCATCGTAGAGAAAGGATTTTATACTGAAAAGGATGCCAGCACTCTGATACGACAAGTCTTGGATGCTGTCTATTATCTTCACCGGATGGGCATTGTTCACAGAGACCTCAAGGTATTTAAAATTTGATAGTACCGTAGATATATATCTCAGAGGGGCCCTTGCTGCTCTCTGAGCTTGGTGGCTTTCTTGCAGATGTTTCATTACCAAACTAGGTAACATCATCAGTGCTAGAAGGAGTAGAGTTTGCAGAGTGGAGGAAGAGAAGGACTGAGGGGCCCTTGGTGCTCTCTG